TGTTTTGTCATCATCATCATCTAATGATTGAAATGAATTGAAAAAAAGGGTAACAACAACAAGTGAGACAATTTTCTTTCTCGTTCAACATATTTTTCATTGTCTTGTTATGAAGAAAAAACATTGTGATGATGATCATGATCATCAAGTATATTTTTTGTTGTCAAAATCATTATGATAATGTTTTTTTTCTGCAGCAGTTAGTTATATTAGTTCAGTCGCACCACCACCACCACCATACACGAAAAAATCAATCGAGCGAAAATATTGTCGTTGTCATTGATGATGATGATGATGATTATAATATGGACAACATACAACCACGGTAGTTATAATTCTGGATTCTTCTTAATAAATTGTTGACAATTCAGGTATGACGATTAAATGAGAACTTTGTGTGTGTGTGTATGCGTCGAATCTATTATTATTATTTTTCTAGTTGTTGACAAAATTTTGATTTTGATCATTGATGATTGACATGGTCATTAGACCTGAAAAAGAATTTACTCTTTTTTTTCGGGAGTGTAAAGGCAGAGACTTTTTTTCCATCATCATCGTGATGATGATGATTTACTGTGTGTGTGTGTGTGTGTGGGTGACACCTTTGTTGTTGGTCTACACACATACGGTTGTGAAGAAATGAAAAAAAAAAAACATGGCGCCAAACAATTAGCGGAAAAAGTGAGAAGGTTAAAAAAATTTTTGGTGAAAAAAAACGAGTGAATTTTTTTTCTGTTCAGAATTCCTAAGAATTGGCCATTTTCAAATATTTGTTTTCTTCTTCTTTTCTTCTTCATTTTTCTTTCCTAGTTGTGTTTGTTTGTCTCATTAGTGTGTGAATTTCGGGTGGAAAAAAATAAATTTTTCAATCACCTTATATCTCTAGCTAATAACGAGAGAATTTTTTTTTTTGCTATTTCAACCAAAAAGTTCAATGATTTTTTTTTTCGTTGCTATTGAAGGCCAAGTTTTCACGAATGACAAGTCAGCGAATACACACAAATTGATAGAATGGAAAACAAAAAACAAAAACAAAAACAACAACCACCACCTTGATAATTTCAGAAAATTTGTTTATAACCAAATTCAAATATTAAAAATTTTAAAACATTGTCAGCCAAAATTGTTTGTTTGGTTTTGATTTAAAGTTTTTATTATCATGTTTGTTTCTTCAATGATTTTCTCGGTCATTGGTCGTGTGATGAAATGTTTGTTGATTCAGAGACATGGAGGAAGATTTATGTTGTTTTTTTTTACAAATATCAAAATCGATTCCAATGGAAAAATTCTTCATGATTCATGAATCTTTGAATGAATATTTAAATTGATTCTTTATGTATATTTCATTCATTAAATTTTGATCGATTGACAGTCAGTCATTCATATACATGATTAATCATTCGTAACTGAATATTTTTTTATCAATAATTGTTCTCGCCATATGATTGTGATGGTGTGGTTTTAGCTGTTGTTGTTGATGTTGTTGTTGTTTTGTTTTCATTCATCTGGAACGATTGAACCTGCTACCATTACCACCACCACCACCACCACAAAAGTAAAAAAAATCGATCAAATTTGATTTAAAATAGTGAAAAAAAAACTTTCATTACCACTATCATAATCATCATCATCATGGTCATGTGAATTAAATAATTGCCATTGATAATGATGATGATGATGATAATAATGGTTAAATTTGTGTGTCAACGATCGATTCAAAATTTATCATCATCATCATGGTGTTGTCGTTGTTGTTGTTGTTGTTGTTTTCAGAATTGAAGAATCAAGATAGGAAAATCGATTTTTTTTGTTTTTCAAATGTTTGAAAACTTTTTTTTCTTCAAACGAAAAATTTTGAATTTGATGATGATAATGATGAATAATTTGCATCGTATGTGCGAATAATAAAATCAATTTAATGATGATGAAATTATTTTATTGAAAATAAACTGGATCAATTTTTTCCCGTTATGGTTTGGTTTTTTTTCTGTTTTGTTGGCTGATGAACACCATCATCCACACAGTAATGATTATTGCATAAATCGATATATGAAAAAGTTCAGTACAAATTCAGTATCATATTCACCATTCAACCATGCACATTGTACAATCGATGGATAAGAATAATCAATCGATATATATGTATGCTGGCCATAATTTTCTGTTTTGTTTCATCATTTCATTCGATGAGGAAAAGACAAAAAAAATAGACATTCACTTCCATGTGTATGGCGTGACTATGAATCATTGATGAATGAATTTCTAGTTCTGGTCTGTAATCATAATCATGTTATATACAGGGAAAAAAACGAACTGAACCAGAAAAGAATTTTTTTTGTTTTTGTTTCATTCCACTGATGATGATTCTTCATTCATTCATTCAAAAAAAACTCATCAAATGATTTTTCATCGACCTAAAAAAAAATTGATCGACAATCGACAGAAGAAGAAAAAAAATTTTGTTAACCAAACTGGAATATATTACCACATTATGACCATATGAATATACAAATATGAACCATGAAAAAAATTTGTCCATTAATTGAAATGAAGAAAAAAAAACTTTTTTTTGCCCCACCACTAAACATACGAAATTCAAACTGTAAAAGCATATTGCAAAACCAATGGAATGAATCGAATCGAATCGAATTGAATCGATGACGCATATACCTTGGCCAGAAAGCCAGAAAAAAAATTCAACTAAATTCAGTCTAAATTCGTATTAATCAAAATGAAATGGAACGAATCATCATCGTTATTCATTGATTGACATTCATATCCAAATGTCATCATTTGAATTTATTTTACCCACACACACACACACACACACACAGACACATAAACAGATCGACAGACCGAAAGATAGTAATGATCAATGTGTGTGTGTGTTTGGTGCATTGAATAAAAAATTTATATATGAAAAGTAAAAACTGGAAAATAAAAAGAGAAAAAAAAATTAACCAGAACCAAATGAAGAAAAGTAAAAAGTAAAAAAACCATTCATAATCATCGTTTTCATTCATAATTTATAATTAATTCATTACGGTTGATATGTTGTAAATTCTAATGGTCTGTGTGTGTGTGCACGGTTTTTTTTGGGTGAATGAAATGGGTGTGTTTCAATGAAATGAAATGAGATGAATGAATGAATGACTGCTCTATACGGTTCGGTTATGTTTAATTTTGTTTCATCATCATCATCATCATATGGTTTCGGTTACATGAATATGGCAATTTATCAGGCGCCATTAAACACATCACATTTCATTTTTATAAATTATAAAAAAAAAAAAAACAAAAAAAGAGAGAAATAAATGAAAACAAAGTCGGAATTTGAGTTTCCGATTTATTTTGTTTTGGAAACGAAAGTTTTTTACTCACTTCTATAGAGATCATTTTTTGTTGTTTTGTTTTTTTTATCTCTTTGTTTGTTTGTCGTTTTGTTGTTGTTGTTCGTTGTAATTGTTTTTCTCATTCATAATGGACTTGTAAATTCGTTCATTATGTTCGCTGTGAACATGAATTTCTAGCACAAACAAACAAACAAACAAAATGAGAAAATGATGATGATGTGATGATTTGTTGTTGTTGTTGTTGTTTACTTGTGTTTCTGTCATGTTTTTGTTTTTCATATTCGATAATTGAATTGAATTGCATATAACAACACGTTATCTATCGAACAAACATGTTTCAGGCGCCAATTTTTTTTTGTTTTGTTTCTACACTTGTAATAATAATTATATATATCAAAACAACAAGAATTGTCCAAATCACATGTATATATATGAATTATATATGCACAAAAAAAAAAAAAAATAATGGATTGAAATCAAGAAAAGAAATAAATGTGATGTTCATTTTTTTCTGTTTTCATGATGATGATGACGATGATGATGTCAATTATTATTAACATATAGACATGAAATATTCATTATCATCATCATCGTAATAAATTGTAACCAATTTTGTTTACCACCACCAGAAGAAGCTAGAGAGAGAGAGAGAGAAGACATTTTCATTTGAAATTCATACGATTTCAATTAATAAACAACAAAATATATTCATAAAATGGTAAATTGTTTTTTTGTTGTTGTTGTTGTTGTTGTTGTTGTAATTATCATCATCATCATCATTATAATAATGATGACTATGACGTGAATATCATCATCATCACATTCAATTCACCAGCTTGATCACCATGAACAAAACAAAAAAAATCAATTTCAATTTAAAACAAAACAAAGCAACTGTGGCGCCATCCATTGTATGAATCGAAAACTGTTTGAATCATTTTTCAAAATAAAAAAAATCAATCAATCTGATGATGATGATCTGAGATATTCAAAATTATTAATTTATTAGATTCAATCAATTACAACATTTTAATTATTGGATTTTTCTAATTTATAATTTTAATTTTGTAAGAAATTTGTGTCTATGTTTGTTTGTGTGTGTGTGTGTTCAAACTACTTGAATTGAATTTTAACTGAATTTCACAAATATAGAAATCATCATTATCATCATCATTGTTGGTCTGCTAAAAAGATGACCAATTGTTACAAGAAATGAAAATTTTTGATGTTGATAATGGAAACGAAAAAAAAACAAAATAAATTCCAACGGTGCGACCAAGATTTTCTTGTTATTTTTTTCTCTTTTTGCAATTTTTCATTTGACACAAGATTTTTCGCACACAATTTTTTCTTCTTCTTTTTTTGCCCAAGCACGATATATTTAATCTTGCGTTTACTCTGGTTTTGTGTTATTCAAGCTGTATTTGAAAAAAAAACATCATGGATGAATGAATAATTCACACATTATTAAATTATTAACGAACCTGTTGAACCAAGAATTTGTTTTATGTTTGATTGTTGTGGTGGTGTTGGTGTATGTGGTTGTTGTTGTTGATTGTCAGTAAAGCAACAGATTTGAACAGAAAAAAGTTGACATCATAATTTAGTCAGAGGTGTTAATTGATTTTTTTGAAAAGTTTTTCTTCGTTTTTGTTCTATTTGGCCATTCACATGGACATGGACATCTGAAGATGACAAGAATGTGATTTTAAAATGACATGAAGGACAATGATGATGATGATTGTGATTTTTGCATTTTTTTATTTAATTCATACATTCAAAACAAATCTTAATATCGATCGATGACAGTTGCGCTGTGGTTAACCATCGGGAGTGAAAATTTCATTGTGTTTGTATTGTTGTTGGTTTTTTTTTATTTTGGACCAAAATTGATTCGTGATTATCATTCACACACACACACACACATGGTTTTCGATTTTTTCTGTTTTCTTCATTCATTAAAAAAAATCATTAAGATTCTTTCATCACACACAAGCAAGCCAAAAAACAGACATACACAAATCTAGAACAACTCCAAAACATTAACTGTTGATTTTTTCCACATAAAAATATATATAAACCAAGATTGTATGATAGCCAATCATATTTTGAATCAATCAATCATGTCACTTGTCGATGATGTAAAGATGTTCCAGCTGAATTGGCCATAAATTGTATTGGTCGAAAATGAGTGTTTGATGAAGATTTTTGTGGAGAACGACCATTGTTGTTGGTGAAAGAACAATTAGATGATGATGCTGTTGTTGTTGTTGTCATTTGATGACGATTGTATTTCTTGTTAAATTTATACTTTTTATAATTATTATTATTATTACGAATATTTTGCTTGGCAAGGTACGAATCCATTGTTTCAATATCAATACCACAAGCTTGTGCTATGGTTGTCGAAGCATTCGATGGCCATTTAGCAATATTCGTATCGGTTGTAATCAATGTAATTTGAACGTTTTGTTGTTGTTCATCATCTTGTTGTTTAAATCCAGTTCCAATAGTCGAAATACGGGTATTGATCAAAACCTTGTTGACCAATAAATGATGACAATGTTCAAGCAATTCATAAAACAATGCCAAATCTTGCAATTTGTTACCATTGCTGCGATCACCTGAATCCGTTCCAAGTCCATTATCACTATCATCATCATTAATAGTTCGAATCCAAGCATTTTTTCGTGGATAACTCAACATTTCCAATTCCAGACGATCTTCATTACGAATAAATCGAATCATACGTGAACCACGAAAAAATTCATCATGAAGAAAATCACTTGCTTCAACGGCAGATTGAATTTGTTTATTTTTCAAATTATTCAAAAAGTCAGTTACTGTTCAAATGAAAAAAAAATGAAATTAAAAACAAGAAAATCTCATAACACAAAAAAAATTTACCCAATTTTGGCACAATTACAAACGCTTTTTTCTGTTGAACAATTTGTTTGATTTGTTCAAGATTTTCCAAATAAACAAATGGATCAATCAAAAGATGTGGCAATTTTCCAGATCAAACAATGATTTTGACGATGATGATGATGATGGCATCTGTTGATGATGAATTACTGGAGTATTTTTTTGACCATCATTTTGCAGACTTTTTTGCGTTTTGTTCTTGGGAGTAATGTTGCCATTTTTGCTGTTGCTGTTGTCGTTGTTGTTGTTATTGCAAACATTTTCAACTTCTTTATCATTCAAATCAAATTGTATCAATTGTTGTTCACATTTATTTATAGCTTTCGATACAATCAATGAATAACGATCATCTTTCAAAATCGATACTGAATGATCAGATCGTGGTTGTAATGATTGAAAAACAAATCTAACATGTTTATTTTGTTTCAGATCGTGTACAGTTTGTAGATCATAATCAGTGGCCATTAATTTGAAATTTTCATTATCCAATGATAACAGTACCAATTTGATGCCTAAAATAATCATTGATTTGATTGATAGATAACATGATTTTTCAATGGTCAATTCATTCTTCATGTTCACTAGTGTCCAATCATCTTTACAATCAAATAATGATTTATAGAAATTTGACAATTCTTCAGTTAAATTCATGAATGCCATTTCACTACTCAATGGTGATGATTGTTTGAAATCTTTCAATGAATAACCAGAATATTGATTGATGAAATTGAACAAATCAATCAGCTTGTGTATCTTGTCCAGTTGTTGTTTGGCATTTGTTTGAAATTCACGTTCCAAATACGATTTAAAATTCAGAATCAATCGTAAATCAAATTCACTGATCAGATTGAGATAGTTGAAAAATTGTTCAAAATATTCAATCAGAACGGACATGTTTTGCAGAATTTCAATGAAATCTCCATTTGATTGTAGATAATCACAGAAAAATTTGATGATCGGAGTATATGATTCAGCATACATAAAGGCCAACATTTGATCAAATGTTTTTGAATCCGTTGACAATGGATAATCGAAATCATGATTAATCTGTTGATACTCGGTATCGTTGGTCATTGTATCCAATATGATGAGTTCCTCCCATTATCATCATCAATGTCATTGTCATCTTCATTTTCCGATGAATCCAAAATGTCCTGTATGGTTTGAATGACTCGATTCTTCAATTCAGCCATTGCTTCATCATTGGGACAATCACCATAATCGGATGAAAATGAATGAGCCGATTGATAATGTTTTCTCAACGAATCCGAATTGAAAGATGGATTTTTACTTTTCTTTTTACGATTATTAGCAAATTTATGTTTTTGTTGAAAAATTCTTGGATTATCATCCATCAGATTCTGTGAAACATACATCATTTTCTTCAATACTTCGGATTCACGATGAATTACCATGGTGACGATTTGAAAAAGAAAATGATACGAAATGTAAAGAAGAAAATTACCACGAACATCAACATTGCCTTTTAAATTATTCGATTCAAGTTTTGATAAATCAATCATTCCAAGATTGACATCAATGTTGTTCTTTTTCAGTGATATTTTTATCTGATCTATCAATACCATTGTGATGGAAATTATTTGAAAAATGTTCGATGCTGTCAGTCGATTCGGTTTCAAACGTGATGACGATTTTGCATCAGCAGTAGATGACGTGATATTCAAGGCATTACGAAACAAGATTAATACATCATTAATATTGCTGTATAATTTCGATGCCGGTATCGATTGTGATTCATTTTCCAATTCATCGATAAGATTGAATATCCGTGAAAAAATATCCATCATACGATTAATAGTGGACCGAACCAATTCTTGATCATTCTGGAAATTCTGTTCGGTTAATGAACCGACAATGAATCCATTAGTTGATGATGATTTTTGTGGCAGATGATTTGTGTTTTCTTGCATTTTATTACGCACAAACGTAAATGTATTCTTTAGATTGTCTTTGATGCCAAGAAATTTCTTTTTTGAATTTAAACAACGAAAATAATAATAAATGGAATCCAGACCATAGAAGCTATTGGCATATAGCGTACCAAGTTGATTATATGGCATACCAAGTTGTGGCTGTAACAACGAAGCTAATTGATAATACAATGATGCAATCTGAAAATATTGTTCATCGAATCGTTCGATAGCGGTGTCAACAACAACAGAAGTGGATGGAAAAAAATCAACATAATAACGAGCTAGATCTCCGATACAGATGAAAAAACGATGAACCAAAAACATTAAGGTATCTTTGAATTTTTCATCATAAGTATATTCTGTATCAAATTCAATAATAGCTTCCTCATCAGCTTGTTCATCATTACCACTACCATCATCGTCGAAATTAAATCTTTTGATGATTGCTTGATCATCATTATCATCTTCATTGGCGATGATTAAACGCTGTTTTGGTTTCTGGAAAATGGATGATTTTGCCGATACTTTAAATGGTGAATCATCCAATGCATTATTTGGCAATTGATTACTAGCAAGAATCGGTAAAAATATCGATTGATCCAAATATGACAGATGAAAACCTTTTCGAAATGATACAATCAAACTATGATAGTGGCCAATACCCGAAATCAGATGTGATCGAAATAAACTAATTAATTCATTATTCAATGAATCATTCACCGATTGTGATTGTTGTGGTTGAAAATGGCGACGATATTTTTTGAAAAATTTTACACAATCATAATAATTTCGTTTCCAAAGTATATCTTCAAAAACACGACCATATTCAATCGGTGCATGTCGAAACAGGAAACTAATTTCATCCGATAATTGTCTTCGTTGTTCAATCAATGTATTTGAATATAATTGTTTCAGTGTTTTAACTTGTTGATGTTGTGAATCCAATTTATTCGATAAATCTAATATCAATCTTTCAAAAAAAAAAAACAATCATCATTTGTTTTTTCAACAACAACAACAAAAAAATGCCACACTTACTTGTGTTTACTTTCCAATTCATATCGACTTGGTGGAAGCTTTACGCAAAACTTTTCACGATTAATCGCAAACATCTTTTCGATTCAGTGGTCGATTCATTGATTGGGAGAGAGAATATAAAAATTAGAAACAAAGCAAAAATTCTATAAATTTTTGAACAAACCATTGAAACAATTCGATTTTCCACAAAAAAAACAAAAACGAAAAAACAAACAAAAAAAACTTGAAATAAAGAAAAAAAAACTGTGGTTACATGGTAATTATTAGCCAACAAACACGGTGTGTAATTGATGTGATTATTATGTTATCATTTTGAACGTTATGATGATGATGATGTTATGATGAAACCGTTCTAATAATTTGTTTTTGTTGTTGTTGTTGTTTATCATATATGAAATTAACGGCAAATGGAAAATATAATTCATTTGTTTTGATTCTATTTACTTTTTTTTTGTTATCAAACGTTGAAATTCTCACTCACTGTTGATGAGAAACAGAATATAGAAATGTTATAATTGTCAGAATGGATAAAATATACAAGTACCTGTGAGCAAAAAAAAAAAAAACTTTTCTTTCATCAGAATTTCATCATCACCAAAAAAAACCAATCAATAAAAAAACTTAGAAATGAGTCGTCACACCAAAAAAAAAGCATTCAGAGCGATAGATTGTTGCTGCTGTTGTTGTTGTTTTACATACAATCTCATCATCATCATTATCAGCAATTACCACTACAAATATCGACATTGATAATAAAAGAAAAAAAATAATTTTTAGGTACAAATTATTAAAATGGTTCCATGACCTATCCACTATCTCATACATACCTGTTTCTTTCTGAAAAAGGTCGTCGTTATGACATCGAATGCTGTTGTATTCAAGTTTCAAATCATCATCAGAAATAAAAAAATTATCAATCAATGGAAAAAAAATTGAAAAATAGCTCGATGATCGTCTTTCAATATTATATATATAAAGATCACAGGCCAAAAAAAAGCGCACGCAATATCGAAAAAAAATATTGATGGAAAAATCCAGATAGCGTAGTGTTGCAATTGCATTGAAAAATGCATATCAAAGTACAAAGATGATGTTGTTGATGATGATGATGATGATGATGATGAAAAACGTTTTATAATAAAAAACTATACATGCTTTAAGAAGCGCATGATTTTCTCTCTACATTATAATGAAAGAAGTGTAATGAGAAAAATTTCCGTAAGTATAAAAAAAATTTTTTCGATCCATAAATTGAAAAATTTTCTGGAAACAAAATTTTTTTTTTGTTTTGTTTTCGAATTCCCACAATAGTTATGCCACAGGATTCTAGATGGCACTACATAGTGTTTTGTATTTTGAATTTCGAATAACGTGGTGTTGTATGATGACAAAAATTGTGCTGTTTGACACCTTGAATCCCATTGTCGCCAATTGATGATGATAAACGACAATTTGACAAAATTACACATTGATTCAATTCGATTTGATTTGATTTGATTGGAAAATAATTTCGTTTTTCTGTCCTGAAATTATTCCGTGTATTACAAGGTCGAATGAAATTTTTTTTCTTTTGTTTTTTCTTTTAAATTCATCATCCATTTAATGTTTCTATTTTTAATTTTATTTTTTAAATTTTTTTTTGTCGAAATCAATTATTCATGTTGTTGCTGTTGTTGAATTGTGTCGACCATTTTTTTTTTTTGACTACGAGAACGTTAAACATAATTGGCTGTCGTCAATTTGAAAAGGTTGATTGATTCCAATCGCCAATACCACCACCACCACCACCTGTATTCAATCTGAATTTTTAAAATTGACAAAAAAAAGAAAATAAAAATAAAACAGAAAAAATTTCAATTTTCATGTCTTTTTTTTCTGGCTAGAAAAATAGGAGCCATTCATCCACGATGGTAATAGATATGATATATGATCGTACCGTGTAAAATTGTTTGATTAACTTGTTTCATTTGGCCATGGTGTGTTATGGGGTATGGTGCACAATTGAAGCGAAACAAATGGATGATGATGACCATACATGTAGCAAAAAAAAAAAAAAAACGACGACAAAACAAACGAGATGATGAAAAATGATGTTAAATTTTTTTTTTTTTTTGAAAACAAAAGATTCGAAATTTCAAATCACATTTTTTCGCCTAAGTAGGATTAATTATAGTCATGATGATGATGATGATGATGAAAAACGGTAAAAAATATCGGTCATCATCAGTGAATACCCGAAACAAAAAAAAAATGAAATTGGCGAAAGTTGAAAAAAATTTTCTTGCGGTGTAACTAATTGTTTGAAATTTGGTGAGTGCCAGTGCTTTTTTTGGGTAAATTGTATTCAATGATGATAATGCTGATGACCGAGAAACCTTTGGCTGACTGTTTTCTATTACCATTCAAACAGCCAGCCAGACTAACCGAAAAGATCGATGTTCAGTTATTTTGAATGAATGAATAATGATGCGGCAAAGGGAAAATTTCCATTCTGCATTATTATCGGTCAGTAGTTTTCCATTTTCATTTTCTCATCGTATACACACACACAACAGGCCATTTTCATTTTTCTTTCTTTTGTTTTGTTTTGTCTGTTTGTTTGTTGATCGTCGTTCATTTTATTTTTCGATTAAAAATATGATGAAAATTGATTGATTGAACAACAAGTTATGCAAAAAAAAACAATTGAAATCAATCAATCTATGAACCATCGTATGATGGACGAATTAAAAAAAAACAATCGATGATGATCATTCCATTATCCAGTGTTAGATTGTATATTTCACACTGTGTTTGTTGTTTCCGATTCAATGTGATTTTTTGATGAAAGTTTTATGGTAATTTATTCGATGATTATCATCATTTCATCATCATCCAAGGTGTTGAGAAGACAAATATATTTCTCTATTTGATTTCAATCGCCAGCCATTCAATCATTTCGTCATTCATTTTTCTCATTAAGTTTTGCCAATAAATCATCATCGGTTTTTTGTCATTTGCTAATAGTTATGACAAGTAACGAAACAAGAAATTTTTTTTTTTGGGCCTACGCCCTTTGAATTATGGCCCAAATTGCAAATGGTTTTTTCCTTTTTTACTGTTTGAACTTCTCATACACCGCATTTCATTCATTCATTCATTCATTCAATTCATTTTGGTTAATTATGTCAATGCTGACAAAAAAAAAACAACGTATGATGAAATTAGCTGTCAAATTTTGGTTATTTTTCGCCTATTTTCAATCAATCGGTAATCCATTCGTCGTCGCCGTCGTCATCCATTCAGGTTTATTCGTAGAAAAAGTACGAATTTTTCGATTTGATTCATAATCACAAACACACAAAAGTTGATTTTTCTTCAATATTGCCAAATGTTAATAGCCAAAATGAGAGAAATTCATTCAACCAGAATGAAGAACATTATCGATTACGACTAAACAGAAACTTTTTTGAATCGATTCTTGTGAAGCGACAACAACAACAACAACAAAAAATCGATTAAAATAAGATAAATTCATTCGTTTAGAAACAACAACAACAACAACAATAATGACCAAACGAGTTAAACGAAAAATACCACCGTACGTTTCGAAAACCGTTAAGCGTTCAATAGCCCGAATACAGAGCAAACATTAAAAGAATTCGATTATAATTAACAGGGCAAAAATAAATGGTGTATATCGTTAGATATAGAGATAAAGTCTGTAGAGTGGAGAAAACCAAAATGAATTTTTTGTTGAGAATCTTTACCGGATTCGAACGAAACCATTTACTACTGAGATATCATCATCATCGACATTCGATTTGAATGGTGAAAAACAAATGGTTTATGGACACGCAGATGGCAATCATCAATGAGATTTTTTTTTTTTTGGTTGATGATGATGATTCCGGATGAGTAACCAGAGTTGACATTGATCATTGTACAATGGAAAAAAAATCATTTTTTTTCTGGATATGCGACACGCCCGTGGTTTTTTTTCACGTATTTCTTATATAATACCAACGAACAAACGAATGAATGAATGAATCATAACCACATAAATTACTGTGTAAAGATTACCTTTCGACATGATAATGAATGCAAACTTTGTGTGTATGTGTGTTTTTTGTTCTTTTGGATCAAAGACATTGAACTTGAACAATTGAATTTGCATATTTGCATTCGTGGTGGTGTTCCAGAAACAACAACAAAGAAAAAAAATTGTGATTTAATAATCACAGCCTGTGTGTATGTGTGTGTATGTGTGTGAAACATTCGTGATCATCCATGATTTTGAATGAATTCAACATCACACTGTGTGTTTGTGTGTGTAATTGAGGCGTTGTCGTTGTTGTTTTTTTCGAGAGAGAAAAAAATTTCAATTGTTCAAACGATTAATGATACAGCAACGAAATTTGAGAAATTCAAATGAAAAAAAAATGAAATCTTGCAACCGGATAAGATGAATTTATATTCACTTAATGATTCATTTTCAATTTTTTTGGACAATTTTCTTTCCTTTGAATTCCAGAACAATGATGATAAATGAACATTTTAAATATATGATTTACATATACATGTGAACAGGCAAACAAAATGAATATAATGAATATACCGTTAGATTAGATTTCCAAAAACTGTGGTGTTTTTTGGAGAAAAAAAAACACACACAAGAATCATTTTTCTCTTTTGGGAGAAAAAAGACGTTCATTTTTTTTTATACACACACACAGAGAGAGATTTATTATATAGTAGACAGTTATTGTGAATGTAACGAAAACACACAAATAATTAAATGTTATCATGGTACATGGTATATTCTTTGGTCTTTCTTTTAGATTTCTATCTCAGATTTATGGTTGTTGTTGTTGTTGTTGGATTTTTTTTTGTCTTCTGGATTTATGTTTCAGTAAAGTTTATTTTTTTGGAAAAAATTTTCAAGAATATTGAACTCTCGAATATTCTTTGAGCAGGTCCAAAGAGCCAAGAATGATGATAACAGCAGACCATACACAGAGAGAGAGAGAGAGAGCGTTCAAGTTTCATAAGTGTCTCATTGTGGTTCGTGTCTTGAATTTCTAAATTCTAAATCAGCACTCTAATGAAACAACAACAACAACAACACTTATGGTGATTTTTTCACTCAGAAAAAATTCACTTACTCACTAATCATCATCATCATTTGAATTAATTCAAATTAACAAGACTCTATATGATCGATGCATGAACAACAAACGAACGTTTCAGTAGCCACGATGCTAAAATTCACAATCTTTTTTTTCGGATCAATTAATTTGGTGCTGGATTACACATCTTGGATCACAATAAAATTCTTCAGAACAAAATTATCGTACATTGTTTATTATTCTCGACACCACCAAAAATTATGCATCATCATTTTCAATGATAAAAACCAAATTCGGTTTTGTTGCCGAAAGTTGTTGTTGTTTTTTTAGTTCACGATTCTGTATATTTGTAATTAAAACTTTCTACAACAGCAGTGTCAATAACAACAACAACAACAACAATAACTGCAACAGAATCGAGAATCTCTACTACATATTATTCTTGCTATCAAAGAAAATTATAGCAGGAAAAAAAATAAA